TTTTTTTATTCCGATCCTTATCACAGGACTTTTTCCAGATCTGGAAACGAAGAAGTTGGCGGAGCTGTCTCTGGGCGAAGGAACGATGCTGGAATGCGACGATTTTGTGCAGAAATTGACACTCAAAGTGATTCTCCACAGCTCCCCGGACCTTCATGGCGAAGATTTCGAGGCAATTCTCAAGGATTCATTCCATTTGATGTTTCGAATCGATATTTCAGATACTGAGAGATTCGGAAAAGAAGAAAGAAGAGGAAGAAACTCGGAAGAGAAAGCTGTCCGAAAGCGAGCCTGGCCTGTCTCCGCCCAAAAAGTCGAAGGTTCGGGGAAACTTCCGACATTTTTTGGCTCTAGAGGCTGCTTCTTGCAACAAAGCTTTTTCAACCCCCCGACCGCAAGTAGTTTTGGGTCGGGCGCGTTTTGAAGTACTGGTCGCATTTGTCGGGCGCGTTTTGAAGTACTGGTCGCATTTGGAATGGCTTGCGGTTTAATCGACTCGCATTGGAATACTTCTCAAGACTCCGACCGCAAGTAGTTTTGGGTCGAGCGCGTTTCAGAGCATAATCAAACTGTCAAGCCATTCCAAGTGCCTTTTTCATTTCTTTTCGAAAAAGTATGGAGAAATACCACTTTTAAATTGTTTTTGAGCTTTTTCAGTAGAGGGGCTATTAAATTTTAAACGTGTTACAAAAGTGTAATTTTTCAGGCGGAAGAGACCAATGGCGAAATCACTGTTCAAAACTGAAATCTCACTTTTTTCAATCTTACTCTAATTTGACTTTTTTCCTGTTTTTGTCTTTCCAATCCACAAGAATTTTTCCATTTTTATATACCCTGACCTCTAATTTAACGAATATTCATCTTTTTTTTTTGGTGAACTACGGTCTCTTTTTATTCCATAATACCAAAATATAATGGAATATATAATTTATCTTCTCGTGCCTATATATTCGAAATTTTTTTTTCTTAATTTTATCTTGGAATCTCTCTTTCGCCTCTATTATTTATTTTGTCTCGATTATTTATTTTCCTTGGCGTTTCCGTCCGGTTTCAAACATGCGAATTGTAATGATACTCTTGATTTGTTCAACATTTTCCCCGATAAACGATTTTGTGAACTTTTCGCATTTTTGAACTGCAATCTTTTGGGATAATCAAACATTAGAAAACCTTGAAAGCCTGAAAATCCTAACAAGGAAGGTCATTCAACTTACCAGGGAATGGTCATTGGACGCAGTGAGACTTTTGAATGAGACCAGCTTTTCTGGATTAAGTTTTTTACGCTGGTTTCAAATATGGTCTTAAAAGTTGCCCAATACGTCTGCGAAAAAGTTAAAGACTCTCAAAAGCCGAAAATTTCATTGTCTTAATTTGAGCTTATTTTTAGAGGGTATGTATATCTTGTTCCTCTGGTTACAGGAAACCAATCACTTTTCAAGGTAAAAAATTTGAAGCGCAGATATAACTTCAAAGCTCCAAATATAAGAGAATGCGAGCGCGGAGTGATTTTGCGATCCGGGGGAAGTTTTCGCGATTTTTTCGATTGTAGGTTTTTTCCAGCAAACACAACGAAAACTTCCGCATTTGATGTCAAACTGTAGCCAATAATATCGAGCACAATTAGGGACCGTAGGCAGTTTTCTAGAAACCATCAGATTTGAATGATTTCCATATGGCCGTGTAGTTCATAGTCCTGACAACTTTTAAAAAAAGAGATCTTGGAAAAATATCGACTCTGAACGAAGTTACAGCCATTAAAGCGCGCGTTTCGCGAATTCAGTTCTCTGTAGAAAATTTGGTCGAGGTCGCGAAAAAAGCGGGCGTTGCAAGGGTGCGGCGCGGTCTCAAAGACCAGTAAAAAAATTAGAGAAAAAGTTTCTTGTTAATTTTTTTCGCACTAAAACACAATAATGATGGTTTTTCATTATTGGGAATGATAATGACGTCGCGGTTATTCAATTGAATCCTTATTTTGGTCTGTTCTTCTTTTAATTAGTGAAGTAAACTTTCCTGAAAATCTTACCTTGGTAAAGTTTATGTTTATTCGAAACAAATGCGTTTCTCAGAAACTGGTGTAAGTTCTAAATATCATTCAGAGAAAGCTTTAGCTAATAACTTTCACCGAAAATTTTCTGTTGAAAGTTCGGAGATTTCGAAGGAATTAAAAAAATAAAAGTTTCAGACTCACTGGGGCCGGGATCGCCATTGATGGCGTCGACGCCCATCGACCAGTCCGATTTCATGCCTGTAATTCCATCAGTTTTAAATTTCGACATGACATTGGTAAATTAATCAAAATCAGCTTTTGATTTGCACCAAAAATCTGCGAAAAATCCTTGGAAAAAGTTATTAGCATCAGTAGGAAGAAAAATTTTGAAAAAAAGTGGCATTTTGAACTGCTGGAACGCCTTAAGAGACCTCGAAAGTTTTAATTTGGCAGGTGAAAATCCAAACTTTTGAATATCTCAAATAAGCAAGTGTTTTGGTTTCCAACCCAAAAAGTTTTGTTAAAGTGGTCAATTTCTTTCAATCTTTTTTTTTCGATCCATTTATTTTCAGCCGGATATTGAGCATGAAAACGCCGCCGGAGCTACTGACAACGATAAATAGGTATAAAATTTTTTTCTAAAAATTTCTGCTTCCCATCCATTATTTGTTTTTTTCTGAAGCTAGGTTTTCGAGGTTAAATAAAATGTTTTTTTCATTTGCTCCTCGAATTTTTCCTCATTTCAATATTTTTTTCGTATTTATAAATGCTTATTCAATGGGAGCTGATTCACCTTCATAATATTTTTTTGTTTTTTTATTTTTGTAATCAGTAATTTAGAGTTTCCCCTTTCGAAATCGTTCCTAAATGTTTTTTTAACGTAAGTGAATGTTTTTTTCACATCATATTCTTCGAAATGACAAATTTCGAACATTTCAGGAGCTATTATCCTGAAATCGCAAATTCTAAAATTGAAAAAAAACATTTTGAGTATGCGATAGTGCGTCTCGGTGTGCTTACACCCTAAGCATCATAATTTACGAAAAGTCTTGACCTTGCGTAATGAAAAAAACACCGTGAAAGACCAGTAAAAAAAGAGTATAGGACAAAAGCGCCGATTCCAAGAGCGCCGTTCAAATTTAGCGCCAGCCCGCAATGCGCCGTCGCGTGTATGCGCCGTGTATGCAGACGCCGCTTTCTTTTGCGCCGAGTCCGTTTGCGCCGAATCGTTTTCCGCCGTTATTTCAAACTTTTTATTTATTCGCTCTTTTTTTATATTATTTTTTTAATAATTGTTTACTACACATTCATATACGACTCGAATAATTTTTCGCGCCATCCGTTAATGATGAGTTTTAGGTCCACTTTGGTCCAGGTAAAATATTTTTTCTCCTTTTTTCTTTTCAAAGTAAAAATAAAAAAGCAAATATGCTTTTCTGATTTCGAAAAATACAGAAAACGTAAGGAAAAGAGAATGGATAAAAAAAATTATTGCTTTAAACGACATATTGAGTGATTTTTTTTTGTGATTGCAAATTTTCTGCGTTAGGTAAGGCAAAGTTTCAATTCTAGCAGACGTGAAACAGCAGAAAATCGTTTTTCGTAACGTTGAACTCATTTTCTTGAAACAATAGTTCGAGTTTTTTCGAAAATGCGGCAGAAAGGTCCATATTAACAGATGGCGCGAAAATTATTCGAGTCGTATATGAATGTGTACTACACAATCAATAAACAATGATAGAAAAAGAGCAAATAAATAAAAGTTTGAAATAACGGCGCAAAACGATTCGGCGCAAACGGACTCGGCGCAAAAGAAAGCGGCGTCTGCATACACGGCGCATACACGCGACGGCGCATTGCGGACTGGCGCTAAATTTGAACGGCGCTCTTGGAATCGGCGCTTTTGTCCTATACTCTAAAAAAATTAGAGAAAAAGTTTCTTGTTAATTTTTTTCGCACTAAAACACAATAATGATGGTTTTTCATTATTGGGAATGATAATGACGTCGCGGTTATTCAATTTACAATTTACAATTTACAATTTACAATTTATTCAGTCTTCAGAGTAAGATGTAGAAAAAATCTCTGCTGAATCATGGTATGATCGAAGAGTTAGTCAGTCGTTGGCGCGGATTACGGTCCACAATCGTTGTCCAATAAGTCCCGGCGTGACAGCTGGAGTTGGGAAATAATGTGATCCCGTGGGTAGTGCCAGCGAATAAACTGCTTCACCATGTTGGAACAGTACAGCGCCCAGCTTGTCCAGGGCTGACGGGCGTCGGAATATTATCCCATGAGAGAGCGGCAATGAGACCGACTAGTCGACGTGATGAAATGAGATAATAACGGTTATTCAATTGCATCCTTATTTTAGTCTGTTCTTCTTTTAATTAGTCAAGTAAACTTTCCTGAAAATCTTACCTTGGTAGAGTTTATGTTTATTCGAAACAAATGCGTTTCTCAGAAACTGGTGTAAGTTCTAAATATCATTCAGAGAAAGCTTTAGCTAATAACTTTCACCGAAAATTTTCTGTTGAAAGTTCGGAGATTTCGAAGGAATTAAAAAAATAAAAGTTTCAGACTCACTGGGGCCGGGATCGCCATTGATGGCGTCGACGCCCATCGACCAGTCCGATTTCATGCCTGTAATTCCATCAGTTTTTAAATTTCGACATGACATTGGTAAAATTAATCAAAAATCAGCTTTTTGATTTGCACCAAAAAAATCTGCGAAAAAAATCCTTGGAAAAAAAGTTATTAGCATCAGTAGGAAGAAAAATTTTGAAAAAAAGTGGCATTTTGAACTGCTGGAACGCCTTAAGAGACCTCGAAAGTTTTAATTTGGCAGGTGAAAATCCAAACTTTTGAATATCCTAAATAAGCAAGTGTTTTGGTTTCCAACCCAAAAAGTTTTGTTAAAGTGGTCAATTTCTTTCAATCTTTTTTTTTCGATCCATTTATTTTCAGCCGGATATTGAGCATGAAAACGCCGCCGGAGCTACTGACAACGATAAATAGGTATAAATCCACGGGTCTTTTTTGCATATAACTTGTTAATTTTCAGATCATCAAAAACTGCCATCGATACATTTTTTCCATCTTTTCGTCCTTTTGCCAGCACCAACATAACTTCAAATTTTTTTTGTGTTCTGCGCTTTTTATTGTGTACTCACTTCGAAAATTGTCTCGTCTATAATAATAGTTTATTCACTGCCATAAAAAAAACATTAGGTAGTATAGAAAAATTATAAGTGATCAACATATGACGGGCAGAAGAATAACAATACGCGGGAAGGAGTCAACCCCAACGAGTTGACAGGTACCCGGAAGTAAGAAGAAATTTTTTACAGTAGGCGAGAAGGGATATTTTTCATAAAAAAAGCTTGATTCGGAAGATTATTCAATTTGTTCCGAAGGGTTTCTGGGGTGACGTTAAAATCCAAATAAGAAGTTAATTTGTTCCAAAGAGGAATAGTCCTAGAAAAGTAGTCATTAGAAAACTGACCAGCTGTCCGTAGTCGAAGTGGATTTCTCTGTAACAGGGATTGAGTGAAATACTTATTGCGATCGAGACAATGATCAGAGCCACAGACAATTTTATGTAGGGTGATTATATCACAAATTTTACGGCGAATGAACAAAGGTTTGATATTAAACTGATTGAGGCGATCGGAATAAGAAGAGAAGCTGACATTACAGCGGATGAAAACTTTCCGACTGAAGAGACGGAGAGATGATTCGAGTTTGTAGGATTCATCAGATGAAATAGCGGGTGAGAAAAGCTCAGAGCAATATTCAAGGACTGGAACCACGTAAGTTTGAAACATACGAAAGTAGTTAAGAGGAGAAGAAAATTTGAATGTATTAAGTATTTGGTTAGAGCGTAAGGTGGCAAAGGCAGAAATTCGATTTATGTGTTGTTTAAAGGAGAGTTTATCATCAATAAAAAGACCAAGATCACGAACAATGGAACTTTGAGGGATTTCAAGACGGTCGACGAAGTATCGGGTTCGAGGGTTTTCAGGACCAAAATGAACTGAGAAAGTTTTTTCGGAAGCAAGGGGGAGAGACCAAATGCGAGACCATTCTAGGATACCATTAATGCTGCTTTGGAGAGATCTGGGGCAGTTACTAAAAATTTTTATATCGTCTGCAAAGATAGAAATGGAGGTGGAGGCATCAATATAATTTTCAATATCGTTAATAAAAATCAAAAAAAGAAGTGGACCACTTACGGTTCCTTGGAGGACACCGGAGGGGTTAGGGAAACTAGAATCAGCAAAGGATTGGTTTACTTTAACAGTCGAAGTTCTATTAGAAAGGAAGTTGGAAAAACCAGCGACTGAGAGTTTGATCAAAGCCAAAGTTATGCATTTTTGAGGCGTAAGAGGTCATGGTTGACTTTGTCAAACGCTTTACAGAAATCGAAGTAGACAGCATCAACAGAAATTTTTAGATGCCAAGGATTTCTGAATATCGGAAATTGAGCTAATAAGAGAGAGCTTACAAGATCTTCGATTTAAAAAAACCAAATTGAAATTGAGAAAATCTATGAGAAAAAGCGAGTTCTAACCATATTAGTAACAATCCGTTCAAAAAAACACGGGAAATTGGATGAGTAAAGGGAGATAGGACGAAAATTGGACGGGTCTGAAAGATTTCCTTTTTTTGTGAACAGGAATAATCGTAGTGGTTTTTGAAGGAAGAAGGGATAATACCAGTAAGATATGATTCGTTAAAAAAATGATAGATAAAGGGAGAGAAATTGAAAAGGCACATTTTTTTCAGGACTAGAAAGTTTATGTTATCCGTAGAAAAAAACCGCATTTTTGGTGGTAAGGAGGTCAAAAAAATTTATATACAATTTCAGGAGAGAATGAGATGTTACAGTTGATAGGTTCCGGTGAGGGAAAAAGCTGGAAACAGGGGAGCGTTAGGCGCGGCAAAGTTGGAGGAGAAAAACAGAGGAAAAAAACATTAGCTTTAGAAGTGTCGTCAGTAATATAATTATCATTAAAAAAATCAAATTGGGGATGCCAGAATCTTGTTTGAGTTGAGTAGATATGAACTTAGAAAGCTTGGAGCAATTGTAAGTGAGAGAAACCTTAGTGTGATGTTTTCTCAACAAAAAAGCAGTCCTTTTCCGAATGAGATTGACAATAAGATTTAACTTGTGACGTAAATAGCTAGTGCGGAGACCGTTTCTAATCAAAAGGGATTTTTTCTGAAATAAACGACGGATAATTCGATCAGTTTTAAAGTTGAAAGAGCGATTGTGTGAGATGACGGCTAGAGGACAGTTATCGCGTATCAATTCATTTAAAATTGTTAAAAAATGCTGAAGTTTGGATTCGACTGTTGAGAAGTAACTGAGTTGACGTACCCAGTTGAAAGATAATAAAGATAGATTGAGAGAATCAAAATCACATTTTATGTAGTTAAGACGACGATGAGGTACAGAAGGAGTGATAACAAAAGGGCAACTGAATTTGAATGAAACAGAATTATGATCAGAACCCAAGATAGGCTCAGTGATTTTTGATATCAGTTATTGAATTAGAAGAATTAGAAAGAACGAGATCGAGGATATTAGACGAATGATCCGTGATTCTAGTGGCCGAGGTTACAAGTTGAGAAAAAAATTATAGCTCAAGCAAAAAAATCGAGAAGGGCTTGGGAACTAGGATTTGAACAGGACAGATTAGACCAATCAATGGAAGGAAGATTAAAATCACCAAGAATTGAACATTTGGAATTAGTTATAAAACGAGAAATATGATTAAATAAGTTAGAAGTGCGGTCAGTAGGAGTGGAAGGAGGTCTGTAAATTAAGAAAAAACGAGATTTGGGAGAGCGAGGAAATACGAGGTCAAAAGCTAGCATATCGCAGAAGTGAGAGGGGTAATACCTGTCATAAAGAAGATCCACTTCGACAATCGGCAGAGTCTTCCGAAAAATGATGATGACGCCCCCACCAGAAACTCTTCCTGAAGAAATAGAGCGATCTTTCCGAAGAAAACTGAAAAAGGAATGATTAAAAAGTGAGTTTGGAAATTCCTCGGTTAAAAAAGTTTCGCAAATAAAACAAATATCGATCGATAAAGACACAAGGTGGTCGAATAAAAGCTCAATTTTGCTTGAGGAACGTAGGGAACGAATATTAGAAAGTAAGATATTGAGACCATTGAAATTCCGATAAATATGTTGGCTTGAAGTGTGAGGAGAGCGCGGAGGAGAGAGAGGGTTAGATGGAAAGAGAGAGTTAGAAGAAGGCAGAGATTTGAGAGAGTTAGAGAGTGGTAACTCGAAAAACACGTTAGAAGAATCTGTTACAGGTAATTCAGAACTGTTAAACATGAGATGAAGGTGATGACATAATGGCGTCAGGAAGAGGGGATGAATTCACAGGATCGAGATTAACATTGACAGCATTGGAGATAGGAGCAATAGGATTAACATTGACATCAGAAGAATAAATAGGGGTTACATGATTTTTTGGATACGATTTGACAGTTTTTCGCGCAATAGAGAGATCTCGAACATAAAAAGAGTTGGGATTCTCCTTGTTCAGAAGAAAAACACGAAAGCGAATGCGTTTAAGAAGGGCCAACTCAGGAAGAGTCATGTCGCGTCTGACTTTGAAGAAAGGAATTGGAGGAATCTGAGGAAGAGATAAGACAGCGCGACGAGCCTTGAAAATGAACAGATTGCGAGACTCAACAGTATCGAACTTGATTTTAAGAGGACGAGGAAGGGACTTACAATCATGACGATGAACAGAAATAGGTCGTGGCAAAGAAATTTGGTCACAAATATCATGAACAAGTTTGAGATCTTTGGAATTCTGTGTGGAGTCACCAGAGTCAGGAATTTTCTCTAGGACGGCAGAGAAAGACTTTTTGACAAATGTTTCAGTCATTGAAATTCTGTTAATAAGAGAGTGTAGAGCATCATCAGGTAAGACTAACAATTCGGAAAACTTGGTGGAATCAGAAACAAAATTAAGCCCTTGAAACGAGGGAGAAGACGTCTCTTGAGCTAGAGAACGGACATCGAAGACAGGAGCGAACGAACGAGAGCCAACGCCAAACGAACGAGAGCCAGCGCCAATTCGAGCACACGGACCAGTTTGAGCAGAAGGACCAGCTTGAGCAGAAGGACCAGCTTGAGCAGAAGGACCAGCGTGAGCAAAAGGACCAGCTTGAGCAGAAGGACCAGCGTGAGCAGAAGAACCAGCTTGAGCAGAGGGACCAGTTTGAGCAGCAGCAACGGGATGAGACGGCGCGCCCGAGCCAGAACCATAGACGGAAGAAGTAGAAGTCGTGGAAAGAGCCCCAGCTTGAGCAAGAGACGTCGTGGAGCCGCCAGCCAAGGTTGATTGAACCGCACCAAGAGATTGAGCAAGGGCAGCGAACGAGAGCACCAGTTGAGCCATGTTTTTATTTGTTTCAGCCAGTTGTTCAACGATTGAAGCCATTTGAGAAGTCTATGTTGGTCGAAAAATAATGATCAAGTATCCAATTTCGTTTTCATTCAAACAAGTAAGACAATTGAAAAATCAAAAAGATAAATCAGAATTTGAGAGTGGTTTTGTCAGATAAGGACGTAATGAAACAGAAAGCTTGAAAAGAATCTGCTTTTCTTAAAAGCGCAATGAGGCGGCAATATGGAACTTTCAGATTGTTATGCTGGAATAAAAAGAATACACTCCGTTCAATAAGGATAAGACCCCCTCTCGATTATGAAAGTTCTGGCAAAATACGGGAAGATATCGAAAAACTGTGAATGCCATTCGATTCAGAGTACAAAATAACCCACAGAGTCAAAGTTTCATTATCCTAGCCTTTTCCCCCACAAGAATGCCATCGGAAAAATGGTTTTTGGACCGTTCAATAAGGATAGGACCACCTGGAAATTTTGACTAGGATAATGAAAGTTTGGCTCTGAAGGTTATTTTGTACTCTGAATCGAATGGCATTTACAGACGTTCGATATCTTTCCGTATTTCCGCAAAATTTAAAATTCTAGGCGACATTCACAGAGACACTCTCAGAACTGATGTCAGATCTCAGAACTGATGTCTGCTGTCAACTGATGTCAACTGATTTTCTGATGACCTTTGCTTTAAGGGCCACGTCTAACGTAAATAGCATTCAAACATGCGCGGTCGTGTTAATTAGGACACGTAGAGAATACGTAGAGAACACATAGGGCTCGTGTCCAGGTTTCTTCAAGATTCCCATGCTCTTTAGTCTTTTTTTTTCTTGGACAGCGCGTCCAGACACGCACTCTCCGCGTTTTTCATGCTCTTTAACTAACGCGCCCGCGCAAGTTTGAATATTGTATACGCTACACATTTAAATTTCAAAAAGTGTCAAAGAGAAAGGCTGAAGAATCGTCTCCCAGGCTGCGGTTCGGGAATATTTTGACACCTAATCTGACAGAAACCACCTCAAATTCTGAATTTCTTCAAAATATTTTGTTAGAATTCCGCAATTTTGGTCAAAGAACGCAAAGTGAACTTTTTTTCTTTTCATAAGTATAATCTGGAATATGTAGCGCCACCCGAAAATGACATCGGAGGGATCAATACCATACGAGGTTTTGCCGGAAAAATGAAGAAGATCATATCCAGAATGACGGGGAACAGAAAGCTGGCCACGAAGTGAGTTCAACTCGGTTATTTTCAAATGATGAAGTCCGACTTTTTCAGTTGTCGGAGTTGTGGTTTCTTTCCTGTATACTTGCTCCCCTACTGTGAAGCAAGCGGGCCGCTCGTCAAGTTTCCTGGAGACGTACCGTCCGTAGCAAAGCAGGAAAAGATTCCACCCTTCATCATCAACATCGGCGAACTCAGAAAGGCTCGAAAGCTTCGAAGAAAAATTCCTTCGATTAAAATTGATCTCATTGCTCTTTCTAAACTTCCCAGCTCTCCAAACGCTGCTCGAAGCGTTTTGAGAAAGATTGAAAAACACTCATTTCTCTTATAGTTTTTTGATTAGAATAATAATAATAGATGTCAATTTCATGTTTCGACTATTTTTGAGTGACTAATACCCCTCCTTGGAACCTACTAAATTGTTGCAAATCTTTCCTATATCCATACGTGTTCCAATTACATGATCGTTTTATCAGAACCGTTTTATAATTCTTGTTGTAAATGAAAATTCTAATTTTTACTCCGGGTTTCATCAAAGTGGAAAATTCATGAGCTGGTGAAACGTCGTGCCTGAGAGAGATGTGTTGGAGCCAGGTTTTTTTCTGGGTCTTCATTGCGTTATTTTTAAGAGAGTTTAGATGATGTAACTTTTATTTTAATTTTTTGTAAACATTGAAAAACTTGGGTTCTCCTAACTTCCATTTCGAGTTTTAGCCGCTGACGGTTGAACTTAACTCGTGACAAGTGTCGCAAACGCGCACGCTACGCGTCCTGCGCATTTTTAGTCAAGAAAAAGTGACAATACGAAACAGTTCTTCAAAGAAATTCTTTTCTAATATTTGCCAAGTGCTAATTAAAAAAAAGAGCCACATTCAAGCCATGTGCCATCGAAAGATGAGCTTTTGATAAAATGATATAAAGTCAAAACAAGATGAGTAAAAATATGAAAGAAAGACCCAAATTAAACCATAAGTTTCTCCTTCTGAAAGCTTTCGGTAATTTTTCCCATATTCAGTGAATTGCTCAAAAAAGTCGCGCTTTCAAAAATTGTATCGAACTGTTTCAAAAAAGAGAATGAGAAATGTAAGCTTTTTTGGGACCAGTTTGTGAAAAAATTGAAAATTTTTTATTTATCAGAGCGTGTGTAGTTTGCTCATATTCGCAACATTGGTATCGACACAAACAACACGACGTCAGAGGTCTTTCACATCTCCTGAAAACTCGGTCGCCTGCACATTGGTAGGCGAGAGAGTGAAGAGAGCGCGGAGTTCCAGACGACAGAGTCATCGACCCGATTGGCCAACCGAACAGTTTCTTGAGCCCGCGAACCGATACGCGTTGACGGTGTATACACGGCGCGGTCAGATGCGCGGTCCCTAGCCCTATAAAAGGACCTTCCTGGACGTTCTTCTATCATTCTCTCTCGTTTTTCTCCCTCATTCGATGGTTCAAAGGCTGTTAATTCTTTATAGTCGCTTTCCTCAATCTGCTGATTTTTTTATTCGGTCCTAAACGCTTTTTGTTCTCAAAATTATAAATTTCTCTGTGACTTACTTCTTTTTTTCAAAAAAATTTTTCAGTTCTTCAAAAAGCAGCCTTGGCTGAAAAACAACCTCACAAGTCACTTTAAAATCTCCACTCTTTCATTTTCTCGCTATTCTTCGAATTAAAAAATGACTTTTACAAAAGATTCTTTTTGAGCCGATGTCTCCTGAGATCTCTTATTTTTTTTTGGTTCAGCTTGAGATAGCGGAGGTCTCGGAATCTTTGATAGCCCTGGAACCCACTCTCTCGGAAAGCTTGGTGACGCTAGGACGGCCCCTCACTAAGAACAAACAGAAAGTATTTTTTATTCATTTCGGATCTAGCTTATACAGGAAAAAGTTATACTTTGCCGTCGAGAATATTTTAAAAATTGATTGATTTTTTTGCTGATTTATCAGGTAATATTCTAAATGTTTCAGCCTGCACAAATTTCAGGTTATTGAGAAATGACACATTAAATTACACAGATTTAAAAAAATCGAAATCCGTCGATACAAGCAATTCGCTGCATTTTTTTTCTAAAAAACTGGCTCCTTGAAAAAGTTCTATCTTATCCCTAGGATATTTTTCTTTTTCACATAATTGAGCAAAAGGTTTTTTAATCAGTACTTTGAAATTATTGATACGACAAACGAATGATAATTTTCTAACAAAATTTCCGGTCTACAGTCTTTCAACCGTACATAATCTTCTTTTCAAAAAGCCGTTTACAAAACGATAAAACAGTATGACAAAGAAGTTATTGCGCGAATTGTAAGTAGCATAGAAACGGACGGAGCTACGAACGTAATAGAGGATAAGGTACTTTTTTTTTGGAGAGATCATTATGTTTTTCATTTTACCCTTTTTTTCAGCCTCTTCGAAAATGCCGCCAAACGAAGAGCCGTAAAGCGATTGCGACAGCGCTTCACGCTACCACAACAACGTTACACGGAGCTGCGACAAGAAGCCGCAAAACTGCTGCAACTGGAAACTTGGCTTCTGCAAGAACACGCCAAGCATCGACGATCACCCGCCACTTCCTTCATAAGGTATTTTTTTCACTTTGAACAGAACTAATTCAAAAAAATGAAACGGTAAAACCAGTGGATATCCGTTTCAATACCGGTTTTATTTTTTGAATAAATTCAGCCAGAAAATGATATCGAAGGAAATATAACTCGAAGAACAGCTATATGAATTAAAGTAATACCCAGTCGCCATCGCGGGGAGCCACGAAACAAAAAGGATTTGGGTTTCCCCGGAGTTTTTTCAAAGTTTAATCTAGCTGAACTCTACAAAAGTTTGAAAAATCAACTCATCAAAAATTTTTTCACTGAAAAACATATTCCCCAAACTGTGCCTGACTGAAAATTAATTATGAAAATAAGCTTCAGAAATCATATTTTGATTAACTCAATTTTTAATTTTTGAGGCCTCAATAACTCTAGTGAAGCTTATAATGAAAGAATCAAGTTTTTTTGGCACACAATTTTGGGAATATGTTTTTCAGTGAAAAATTTTCGATGAGTTGAATTTTCAAACTTTGTTGAGTTCAGGTAGATAAATTTTGAAAAATTGCGAAAACCCAAATCCTTTTGTTCTTCCCCGATCAACTGGAAATTTCCAGATTTTGTTGGCATCCGCAGGGATGCCTTTGATATATTGATGTGCTGAAAGGGGAAAAAAATTTCTGAAGACACATGGATATAGAAATTAAATCTTAAATTTTTGAAAAATTTTACTTTCCGACATGTCCTAAAGATTTACTACCTTCAATTTTTCGAAGCTCAGAAACTTCTCATTTTACACTTTCCTATATAAAGTATTTTTAAGAAATCATCTCTTCATTAGGGATCTAAATATAGTTTCTAAATACAGTTTGAACAATTTCAAACTTTTTTTTAACCGCGAACCTAAAACGAAATCTTTTCCTCCCTGGGGTTTTTTAAATTGGCTTTTTTTGGAAACATTTTTTTAGCTAACCTGAAAAGGTGTATGCCCCCTTGCCCCGGTAACCGTAATGGTAACAAATAACTTTGTTTCAACTAAATACTTTGATTTTGAAAAAAGTTATGAGCGAAAAAGCCTCGAAAATTTCCATCCCAGGGCATACAAATTTTTTCGGTTCCCGGACATAGAATTTTTTAGGTGAAAAATTTTTTTTCTTTTTTTTGATCTGGAAATGACCTAGTAAATGTAAAAATGCGTGTTGATTGCGGTTCCGCTATTTTCGAGCCAAGAAAACAGGAGATAAAAAAGTTATTGGGGAATCTTGCCCAAAATTACAAGTTTTTTGGATTTTTCGGGTCTTACATGGGAGGTCATTTTAGCGTAGGGTTCAGAATTTTTTCTAAATTTGCCCAAACCAACTTTGATGGACTGGGAATCGATCCCTCATAGTCGCTATCTGCGCAAAGTTTTCGTTTTGGGGATAAGATTTTTCAAAGTTTTTATCCTTAACCATGTGACGCTGTTAGGAAGGAATGTGCCCGCGCCACCAACCACTGCATAGCAGCTGAGAGCGTGGTGCAGTGGTTAGCGTGTTAGGCTGCGAAGCCTATGACGAAGCTTCGAATCCTTTTGCCGCCAACTTTTTGCGATTGTAAAGGTTCTAATGGAATATCGAACTTTTATGGATATAACCATCCCAAAAAAGTTCGATCAGTTTTTTCTACAATCGCTTTTTTTTCATTGAAAAAATTTTGAAAAGTTTTTGAAGAGACAGACTTCACAAAATCCAAGACTTTTTTTTTAAATCAGCAGAAAGTATTTCAGAAAACCGGTAAACCTTGGCATGTCTTGATTGCAATCAATAACAGATTGATTTGAATCTTCCTATATAAAGTAGGTAGTTGGTTCATGATTAAAACACAAAGAAACAGGAATAAAAAATGTGAATAGATGTTTCACAAACCGGAAAAAATAAGGGAAAGTGGCCGTCGGAAAGTTCCCTGGCCATATGAAAAATCGGAAAAGTCGCCGTTTAAATTTTCGCTGGTCTTTTTTCATACCACCGAAACACTAAGAATAACTGTCGAGATAAACGTGAGGTCGGTGGGGGTACATTGCACTGTGTTCCACGCAATGATGCGAAATTTTGGGTCCCAACGGCATATTATCCGTGGCGCATTATTGCGCCCTTCTCATGGTTTCTGATGCAAAAATTGAATTTCTTCACTTTTTTTCATTGGTTTTTACTTTTTCTATTTCTTGCATTTATGTGATCCGCTTCTCTATGGGTACATCTTGTGGAGCTTTAAATTGCGCATTTTTTTCTAAACCGGTTTCAGATCTTTAACTTTTTTTCTCAAAAGAGCTGAAGATTTTTTTCTAAAAAGTCCTAATTTTTTTCAAAATTTTTGAAATCTGTTTTCGCGACATGAAAAAGAGTCACTCTATTTCGGAAACTATAGTTTTTAATTTAATCAGTTAATAATAAAAAGTTATTATCTAGTTCCTTTGACGTAGTTTGAAACCGGTTTCGTGTAAATTAGAGCCCAATTGAATTTGCTGATGCAGTTTAATGATTTTTGATATATGAGTCATCTAAATCATATAGTTTTTTTCTAGTTTTTTTGATGGTTTTTCAGTTTAAACAAAAAAATTTCGCAATACAAGGTTTTTTCCTAAAATTTCTGCTTTCTATCCATTATTTGTTTTTTTCTGAAGCTAGGTTTTCGAGGTATATAAAAATGTCATTTGCTCCTCGAATTTTTCCTCATTCAATATTTTTTTCGTATTTACATTGCTTATTCAATGAGGCTGATTCACCTTCATAATATTTTTTGTTTTTTTATTTTTGTAATCAGTAATTTAGAGTTTTTCCCTTCCGAAATCGTTCCTAAATAACGTAAGTGAATGTCACATCATATTCTTCAAACTGACAAGATTTCGAACATTTCAGAAGTTATTATCCTAAAATTGCAAATTCTAAAATTGAAAAAAAGCAATTTTTGAGTATGCGATAGTGCGTCTCGGTGTGCTTACACCCTAAGCATCATAATTTACGAGAAGTCTTGACCTTGCGTAATAAAAAAAACGCCGTGATTGACGAACTCGCTAACATGTGACGCATTTTTCTCTGCACGACCTCGCATTTATCTTGCTTTTCGGGGTGATCACGTGTATGGCGTGTTCATCGGACAAAACGTAAATTGCTTCGAAACGCAAAAAATTGCTCCAAAACAAAAAATATGTTTTGGAGCAACTTTGGCGCGCCGGTGAATACGATTTTTCGTTTTGCGAAATGCAAAATGTTTTTGCAAAAGCATGTTCCTTTTTCCGATGAACACGCCACTAGCAAAGTGCAAACTCGCGCCCAGAAAAATGCGAGATTGGCGCGAGAAAAAAAGCGAGATGTTTGCGAGCTCTTCAATGTACCGCTAGTGTCTCGCGTTTATCTCGGCAGTTATTCTTAGTGGCATTTCGAAATTCCCGTTTGCGTTCGAAACTTGGTTGGGGTCAATTAAGCAACGAAAAAAA